TTTTGAATTATATGTTTAAGGTTTTTGTATGTATGTATGCAGTTTATGGTAACAGTTTGCTAGCAAATAAATAAAGAGTAATACAAAAGTAAGCATAATCTAAGGATTGTATGTTCGGTAACTTCTTTCAATGAAATAAGTTGGAGTCTCAATGATTTCAATTTATTTATTTATAATGTAATAAGAGAATGCTACCTCGATCCATCGAAGGTCCACGAACCTTTAGATGAATCAAAATTAAATAAAAACAAGTAGAGAGTAATTATCGGCTATTGATCAGTTTGTTGCTCTGTAATGCATCATTCTACTTAATTGACGACTTAATTATGGTTTTTTTTAAGGATAATATTTGAATCCCACTCCATATTTTGAAAATTATATGATTAAACTTGAAAAATCATAAATGTAAATTCTTTGAACCATTGATTTCTGAGGTTTTGATGAATTGATTGTAGTGTTTTTCACATTACTATTTGAATCCCCCTTCATATTTTGAAAATTATATAATTAAAATTTGAAAATCATAAATGCAAATTCTTTGAATCATTTATCTCTTAGGTTTTAATGACTTAATTGTGGTGCTTTTTTCACTCTACTATTTGAATCCCACTTAATATTTTGAAAATTATATAATTAAAATTTGAAAGTCATAAATGCATATTAAGGTTTTGGTGCTTAATTGTAGTGCTTTTTTCACCCCACATTATTATATTTTAAACCTTATATAATTAAAATTTGAAAGTCACAAATGCATATTAAGGTTTCTGGTGCTTAATTGTAGTAGCTTTTTTCACCTCACAAAGAAGGAAAAAAGGAAAGGAAACACTGAAAATTTACAATTCAACGAAGTTCAATATACCAAATTATCTTTTTTGATTTTGTTTTCTTAAGAGACCAAATACAGTTCGGAAAACATCCTATACTATAAATTCCTACCAAATAAGGAAAGCAGCAATTTCCTATACTGTTTTGTAGCCAAACTTCCTATACTGTTCCCAGCAATTAAGGGAAAAAACAATTTCCTGTATAGACTACTGCATACTGAATATAAATATAGGTTAGACGTTTTTCAGGACTCTTACATTGAAGTCGATTTTTGGCCGTCAAACTCCTAGTTGTTGGTAACTCTCTTCTACTCATCTTTTTTGCATGTTAATTAGAATCCAATCTAACCATTGTGTGGTTCTTGGCCGTGCATGCAGGTACACTGCTTAGAGTTAAAAGATTGATCTGAAGAAGCAAGATGAACAATTGGATTATTGCAGGGTTGGTCGTAGGAGCTATTGTTTTAATGCTTGTTGCTTTTTTTATCTTTCCAATTTATTCCAGCTGCAAGGCGAGGAAACAAGCAGGAGGAGGAGCTTGACAACAAGCATGGAGCAACCTTCCTCACATCATAACTATCTTTGATTTTTGCTTCATGATGTGATTAAACAGTTTTTTAGTTTAAGTATTCAATTTCAAATTAAAGACAATACATGTTCATCTTTTTTTATTTTTGGTTAAATTAATTAGCACTATTATAATTCAGTTTTATTTTACAATATTATGTTATGAAGCCTTAATTCAATATACCATCAATGGTATCTGAGCTTTGGTTAGAATTTTTGTTTAATTAAGTTGTTTTCTGGTCTTATTTGTACCTGAACACTAAAAACTGTATGAACAAAAACAAGATGAAAGAACTTATCCCTCAGCTAAACACCATTTCAAAATGATTATAAACATTTTTTTTTTAAGCATGTTTATAAACCATTTGATTCCACAACTGAAACAACATATTCTAAGATCTAAAAACCTCAATCCCTATAGAAACTCAAGGACTCTAGACCATTTCATTTCACTGAAAGTAAATTTCTAGCAGCAATTTAATTATAAACCCAGGACGGTTGAGGAATCGATGTTGGCGATAGTGGGAGGACAAAAATATTAAGAGAAAATACTGTAATACCATCTATGCTCTTTTCGGCTGTAATGTAGGTATTTTCATTTTTGTCAGCATTTCCACAACTGATTAAGTTTTTCTTAGAACAAGAAAATTTCCCAGCACGAAAAATAATCAAGCATCATCACCACAACTATACTAGTTGTCATTGCATTTCAAGCAATGGGAAATGCTTGGTGAAATGCTCGGTATTGCAGGCCTGCCTGTGATCTACATAATTGACAGGGCAAGAAAAAGGGGAAAAAAAAGAAACAAACACACTTTTTTCTGCAGTGGATTCACTAAGTGGGTACTTCTCCTCTAAGAATCTTCCAAGGACCAAAATAGGACTTTGGCTTCATGAGGGGCACTGCTTCACCAGGGTGATCTTCCCAGTATTTCTCCTGTTTGATAGCAGAAACAAAATTCTTCAATTACAATCGAACCTGGAAGCTTGAAGCCCCAAAATTGTTTAAAGGAATGAAAATTTTCAATGATTTACCGAAGACCAAAGTTCAAATTGTTTTGGTATTGGATAGTCAAAACATTAAACATAAATACTCATTGGGTTGCCCACTCCTGTATCAATTGAAAGATCATGATTTTATCCACTACGTACAGAGACACAGACAGTGGGATAAGTCAAAACCTATCAAGTCTATGAGATGCGCTTGAAGATACAACTATATAGCGGTTAACTGGCTTTCTTCTCTACAGGAACCCAAGACCGAGCCAATTGATTCTCCATTGACAAGGAGGCTTCGAACTCTGCAAATGTTGTCATTTGCAGTTTTACATTACAAGTTAACTAGAGGCACCGAGTTAAATTCTTCAATTTCCAGCAATAAACTGCTTTTTTAAGACATTATTTTCCTAATCAGAAGGCACCGATCTATCTTAGTTTATTTAGAACCCACAGAGCCTGGCTATCGAAAATCGTAGTTTTATTTGGAATTAAAGTCTAGGTTTTTTCGTATTTGCAATCCATTTAGTCTATTATAGCTACACATGTAATAAAGTTATTTCATTTACTAAATTTCACAAATTATGGATTAAAATGGGATTTTTAAACTTATGTTGCTTTCTTCTTCTGAATGCCTCCTTCCAACCATCTATCCTACTGTTTCTTCTACCAAGAACCGATCAAATTTCAGCAGCAAAACTAGATCTCTCACCTTTGAAAATTCTCTACTTAATTCCCAAAACAAATCCCAATCTCTAACCCTAACCCTAACCCTATCCCCAGTTTCAACAAAATAATCATCAAACTGTGCTTCGGTAAAGCCACTCACAAGATGAAAAACAAATACCATTTAGAGTAATTAGCATCAGCCCTAGCGAGGAAAGGAGAGGGAAAGCGGGTGAGTTGAGTTACCTTGTGGAGTTGTTCAGTGATGGCAGAGCCTATGACCCCAGTGTAAAAAGCGGCAGTATAAATAACAACAAGAGGAGTGAACGATTTTGGTCTCCTGTAAGGCTCAATCATATCCCAAAGAATCGTTCTCTCCCACTTTGTATACAGATAATCTGCGTACTTCCTCCACAGATAGCTCGCCATTTTCAATCTCCTTCTCTTCTTCTTGCTCGATCCTCTGCAAAGTTCAGGGGCTGCTTGAGTCTGTAATAATGCTAGAGGTGTGGGCTTAAGTTCAACTGATTTTGTACATGTAAGAGTGATGGGCCGGGTGTTTTTAGGCCCATCTAGGGCTGTTGCTTGACTAAGGGAAACATTAACAAGCAGGGTTAGACTATTAGTCCCTCTAGTTTTAAGAAACGAATTAAATTATCCCTTTTAAAAAAATTAATTAATTAATCTTTTTATCAGTGTCAACCATGATTAATTTAATATTACTTTGTTACATCCTTTTTTTCCATCAATATTTTTCATATTTTTTACTTATTTTATTATTTTTCTGTTTATTAAAATAAATTGAAAACAATGAAAAAAAATAAGTGACAAATAGATTTAGAAATATAACCAATAATAATTAGTTTTTGAAAATAGAGACTATTTAATTTATTTTGAAAACATAAAAGGACTAATTTATAATTTAATCTTTTGTTTTTTATTTTTTTTGCCGACTTTCCTTAGACTAGAAATGAAATGATGACGTGGAGAAGATATATTTCAATATCAATGTGATCGTTTGGTCTTATTATAAAAGAATATCACATAATATGTAATATTGTATTTAAATTTTATTTATTTAGATGAAAATAAGAAGAATTGAAAAAAAAACGTGAAATAGTCCATTTAAAAGATAATTTGTTGTGCAGTTATTCTTAAAATAGATATACAGGAAGCTTGAAAAATATGGGGAAATAATGTCTAGGAGAAAATGAGGTGCAAATTCAAATTTATTAAAGTAATAAGGAATATTATGAATTAAAAAAAATTAAGGGTGGCAAATTCAAAGTTCTAACTTAAGGACTATTGTGAATTTTTTGAAAACTTATGGGGGCAACTGCTCTCTGCCCTTGCCAGGAATCTTCTTTACTAACAAACCAGGCTAAGCCACTTAAGGTCATACATTCAAGCATTTACTAGGATTTGTTCACATATTTTCAGCTCTTGTCCCCACGCAGTTATTGAGTCACAAGGAAGCAATTCCAGCCCACTGTTCTAAAGAAACAAGAAACTCGCCTGGAATGCATCTTGAAGCATCAATCTTTCTTCTTCTTCTTCTTCTTCTTCTTCTTTTCCTTTAAAACGGAAAAAACAAGAACTTGTAACACTGAATGCCTGTTCAAGAGTTTCTGCAGCTTCTTAATTTCCAGTCACATTTGTACATGCATTTTGGTCCACTAAATCTAATGGAAATATTCTATAATTGGAAAGATAATTACATCAAATCAAACTAAAAGCAATTTAACAAAGTGTCCAAGTTGCAAGAACCATGCTATAATAAAAATATAGCAGGACGCTTATTGACGCCTGCCCTAGATCAGTTTCGCAGTTTCAAATTTACCCTGGTGCACTAGATACCTCCAGAAAGCCAAGACAATTAGTGAAGCTTCTCTAGTTCAAACCATATCTAACTAATCTAAGTAGGGTTAAAACTGTGAGGGTTTTGCCTTAAGATTCTTCTTCTGATAGGGAGCCTGGGGCAGGAATGGTATCGGCAAAGAACTCCTTGACTGATGTAATAACAAAAAGAAATCCATCAAAAACTTGGAGGCAGACTGAAAGTCTAAAAATAAGAAGGAAAGAACTATTTACAATTGTCATTTAACTCTGAAGGATCAAGCAATCTGGTTGAACCTGAATATTCTGTTCAAAATATGAAAGACTGAAAGTCTAAAAACAAGAAGGAAAGAACTATTTACAATTGTCATTTAGCTCTGAAGGATCAAGCAACCTGGATGAACCTGAATATTCTGTTCAAATTATGAAAGAATCACATGAATGACGCAACTCAAAACAAATAAAAAGGGCATTTTTGTCAGATTATGTAATGAATGTTAAAGCAGTTTTTGCTTAATTGCTGTCATCGAGTTTTCTTGAGTTGCGTAATCATTAGATAAATGAAACTGTGAATTCCTTGAAACTAATTTAGAAATGATATGTATGCCATCGATTATAGCCTAACAGACCAGTACCATAAAAAGTTTCAGACTATAATGAGTTCATCTCACCTTCTACGTTACTGAAGCCAGCATTACCAGGTCCAGGTAGCACCTGTCTTCCACTTCGCACATGAGATAACTCAGCAAATTCAAAAGCTGATGGGTCCACAATCTCTGGCATCTCTGGAATGAAAGAAAATGGATCGTGGGATGCAACCGATACAGGACTTGGAATCTCTGACTTTATTAAAGGTCGGATAGGTGCTATATCTGCTGTGTTATTGTCCATTGGCATCCTTCAACAAACAACAGAGCAGTAAGATAACGGCAGCATAAACCAAGTATTTCTATTATTCCTAATATATCATTTGATAATTTGCATCATATTCAAAATTTTCAGTTCAATCTAATCCATCAAGATTTATATATCTACGCACACATTTATGTATTTCAACTCAGTTTCGGTGTTGTTACTTGTCCAACAAGATTCACCGAGTTCCAGTTGAATCAACAGTCACAACATAATGCATTGTTGGTAAAGCAAATTTCTATGCAAACCATATTCCAAAATAAATGCAGATTTATAATGTTGAGATTATATAGCTATAATGATAGCATTTAGAGTACAATGAATGAAATATATAAGCAGAACCTCAACGGTATGACTCATGAGACATCCACAAAGTAACTTCCAAAGATTATCTCCAGTACAATTTTATAAACTACTATCCCCCATTAGCAATCAATGTTAAGAAAAGACCAGACAAGAAAACTAGAGAAGGAAGTCTCACCATCTCCCATAATTCATCTGAGTTGAGTGGAAATTGCCACATTCAGGGTTTTCATTTACCAGGTCGTAGTTGGAAATAGTGCCCATTGAATCATTCTGGGGATGACCTGTTGATAGAATTGGTTGCTGCTGCAGAAGGGTATGTCCCTTATGAAGATGGTTAACTGTGATACAGAAAGGCGGTAAAAAGCTCTAATTCAAAAACATTATCATGATAAGATGGCAATAAGGACTTGGTCGAAATAATTGGCATTATGAATAACAACTTGAGAATAATTCAGAAAACTTAGTGAAATTGTATGTGTTTTGTGCTTGGATGTGGGTATTTATTTTGAAGAACAATTGAGTTTTAAGCGTCGGATAGGTGATTCAAAGTGTCTTAATTCTTAAGCACTTGTTTGGTCACCTCTTTGTAACGTGCATGACCATAGAAATATCATACTCTCAATACCATGAGAACATTCCTTTCACTTAAAAGATGTCTGCAAAATTTTCTGTGACAATTAACAACAATTCCCTTGCATACCAGTGCAGAAAAGGCAGAGAACAGTGGTGCTACCAAGCTACAGGGTAAAGGCTAATTTCAGGGCATCAGAGGCCCGCTCCATAAAAAAATTAGCCTTTACAAATACTAATAGCAGTGGGAACAAATGTCGAGAACATATTTTTTTTATTGGTGTATTTGTTCAAATATATTCAGATGCCAATTTGTATTCTTTAACTATGTTAGGTTTTCAACATGATACAATATTTAACTTACCTGGCATGTGCTGAATGACTTCCTCCACTGGAGCCAAGGGAGCCTCTAGAGGTGCAGTGAAATTCAGCAGATGGCAGTGCTTCTCAAGTAATTCATTGAACATAGTAATTTGTTCCTTCAGAATTAACTTTGTGTGATAGGCCTTAAAAAATTCTGCATTTTCTTGCCCCAATCTATCCCATACTAGGGGGAAAAAAAGATGTCAGAGATATTGGACAAAAAATATAATTTAATATGAAGAAATATAAGCAGCAGATAAAGATAGCACGGAACAGAAGAACAGGGGAAAAGGTAAAGATTAACATTAGCAACATTTGATCACGATGATATAATATCAGCCCAGGAGCATCAATGATAGAAGCACCATTGCACTAACATCTCATTCTTTTTGACACTTGCAAGGTAGTAGGAAGCCAAACATTGCTGTATGCAGAGAAGAAAGTAAGAAGACTTGTAGGGAAGAATGAGTAATTTACCTATGCTTGTAAAGCCAGGCTCAATTCTAGCTTGTTCTAAGAGTGTCTTGACCACTTCATCTTTATTCATATAGAGTTGCAGACACCTTTCGATCAAATCTTTGACCTACACAGCCAATTATAATTAAAAAAAAGCGAAACATATACTGGTATAGCTCAATTGCACTAGATAAATCAACAAAAAACATACATTGATGCAGATGAGCATCAAATGAAATTTCTTACAATTCCAATTTCTCTAGAGAGAGCAAGTGTGTTATAGTTGTTTGCAATGGACTCTGAACCAGTATCCACCCCGGGAGCCCCAGGAGTGATATTTTGTTGGTATCTTGCTTCTTCCAAATCCTGTGAAGGTTCATTTCAATCAGTGATCCTGTGAAGGTTCATTTCAATCAGTGATCCTGTGAAGGTTCATTCCAATCAGTGATCATGCGAAGCGCTCATTCAGGTTGACTTGGCCAAGCATTGCAAGCAATCTGGGAGGGGTTTCCCAATTATTGGGAATGCCCACCACTCGTTTATCGTTGTCTGTAGTTTGATTAGAAAAATTTTGACAGAAGTAACAAATATTCACCATGACCACTAACTCCAGGAAGCTGATTTGCTACCAACTACAACATTAATACCATCTGACATAAGCCTATAAATAATTGACTGATTCCTTTAAGGAAGTCAATACCTTTTTAATCTTCATTTTATTCAATAGTAGCAATCAACTTTTCCTTGTTTGAGATTGGGATCTCTCTTGATGCTGTACAGGAGATGTATGGTTACCTGAATTTGATAATAAAGGGAAAAAATGATTCTTCAAATTCTACACAATTATATGTTCTATACCTTTTCGTTAACTTAATAAATAAACAAAATTCAAAACAAGAAGAATAACAAAAGAAATCACCTGAAATGAAACAAGATTCAAGAAATTTCTTTATTGCATTTTCTTACTAACCAAACAAAGCCAGTTCCAGTTAATGGCAAGATTCAAAATTGAAATTGATCAAACAGAAATTTACACCATAATCACCTTTAGTTCCTATTACTGAATTTGATGATTAAAAAAAAACATAATAATATTTTTACTTCTTCACAGTTATACTTTTGCTCTCCTCGTACTAAATTTCTTTCTTCCATTTCTAAGCAATCAAACACATCCAATGATCCAATCCAACAAAAACAGCAAAAAGATTCAAACTTTGAGTAACCAAAACTTAAATTCTACACAGTTCCTTTCGTTGTTCAATTCATAAGCAACCAAATGAAGAATTTAATCAATCAACAACTCATTAAAGTTCAAGATTCCAATTTTCTAAGCAATTAAGCACACACCCAGCTCCCAACAAAAGGCTTCAAACATTAAATCACCCCAGATTACAAAAACTTGAGAATTGCCAAGAAATCACCAAAAAAAAAAAAAAAAATTCTTTGAAACGTTTATGATCACAAATATCTTACCTTCACTGGTCTCGATAGCAGGTTAGTGATGAACGTTAGGCACCACTAAATAAATATAAGGAGGAGTGAGAGTGTTTCAGTTCTAGCTTTCTACGTCACTCTACAGAGCGCACCTGAAAGCTGGTCACATACATGAATAAAGAAGTGAACTTCTGGACTTGTTTCAGAAATATTTGGGCTTTTCTCAGCCCAAAAGCTTTTCTATAATTTTTCTTAACACCCAAACATAACACAAGTTATTTATCAGTCCCTGATATTTTGAAATGACTAAAATTTAGTGTTTTTATTTTTAATATTTGAAATTTTCATTAGTAAGTTTCTATATTTGATTGGATACTTGGATTCGTATCCGGAACATGTTACCATGTATAGAGTAATGGAAAGCCTTCGCAACTAGTTTTCTATTTTGGCTTGGATGCACAGTGCTACATCCTCTTTATTACTCATTCTACCTGCCTACCACACCCTTGTAGAATTTTTGATATATTTTATATTATTTCATAAGTAATTACTAAAATTTATTTAGGTAAATATATCTCTTTGTTCATATAATATGTCTCGTAGATATTTTTATCTTTTTAATTATATATTATTTGTCTCTAAAAATGTTTGAAACATTCAATCTGTTATTTAAATATGTCTCTTTGTTCATATAATGCATTTTTTTGATATTTTTACATTTCTAATTACATATTATTTGTCTCTAAAGAATTTTGAAACATTCAATCCGTTATTTCAATTATTTTTTATAATTAAATAAAAAAATTGATCGAAATGTCCTTGATTGAAATGCAAAAAATAAAAAAATTAAAGACTTCAAAAATGAAACTTGTATGTAACGTGACTTTATATATATATATATATATATATATATATATATATATATATATATATATATATATATATATATATATATATATATATATATATATGCAATTTAATAAAAGGTATTTTTGTTAAAAATATTTTACAAGGTCTAAAAATTGGATCAGAAAAAAAATTTAAACATTTTAAAATTTTCCAAGACAAATGACATGCAATTAGAAATTTAGAAACAGATAAAAAATTTTGAATATTATATAAAAATAGATGGTATATTTATTCAATTTATTTTATAAGAAAAAAATATACACAAAAAAAGAGAATATATATATATATATATAAAGGGCATTTTTGTCAAAACTATTTCAAAGATCTGACAATTTGATCCAAAAAAATTAGCCATTTTAAAATTTTTCAAGACATATGAGATGCAAATAAAAATTTAAAAATACATAAAAGATTTTGAGCATTATATAAAAACACGTGGCATATTTATTCAATTTATTTTATAAGAAAAAAATAGATAAAAAAAAGAGAGAGAATATATGTATCATTTTTAATTGTTTCAGATGTAATACATTTTCTTTTATATATATATATATATATATATATATATCTCTTCGATAAATCCGTAGAATAACTACTATAATCTGTACAGTTTACCGCGAAATTAACAATTTCAGAACCACTTTCCTTAAACAGATACCATGGCCATGGGGACCTGTTGATGGGCAGGGTCTGGCCTCGGATTTTGTTGAATTTCAAATGGGCCGGGACTGAAACCCAGAAAGATTCCTTGGAAATTAGGCCCAAGGTTTAGCCCACAAACATGTGTATCGATGACCCACGCCGGTGGTTTGATGGGTGGATTTTGTGTTAGGCCCACGGGTTAGAATTCTCTCAACAAGATGCTCATGTTGGTGATTCAAAAGAGAGCCTTTTCTGCAACTTAATTGCAAATGCCTATTCAAGAAAAACATTTATCTATGATCATCACTGGTCACCATGTCACCGGTCACCGGCCACCGGTCAATAAAGACTAGAACAACTACCGGTCGCTAGCAATCTCCGTCACTATCGACAGAGGGTCATTGCTAATCGTGAGCAGCAACCAGCATTGCTAATCAAGCACCTTCGCATTTCAATTGCTTCAACCATCAACGATCATAAATTGCTGCCATTTCTCAAGTAATAAATAAGTCAGAACAAATCAATCAACAATATCAATTCCAAAACGGCTTCAAATCACCCCAATGAGCTCAAAAACACAGCAGAACAGCTAGGTAACTGATATTGCATTGAACAAACACAAAATTGGTTTCTAAGGAAGGTAGAACTCGAACTTTCGAGTTCAATGACCACAAATACAAAAGGGAAAACAAAAAACAGTATTTACAACATAAATTACATAGCAGAACATAACAGGACACCATTAGTCCATAACCATACTACTCTCTCACTTACATTTATTCGTTCAAAGAAGTTCACTTTTCTGTACTCATTTTTATAGTTATAAGTTTCATCGTACGTAGTAGGCATCAAGCAGGCAGTTTAGTGATAACCAACAGGAGCAGGAGCTTCCTTCAGTTCGCGTCCTTGATAGTGTATGTCCTGCAAATTAATTCAAGAACAACGAATCAGAATTTGAAAAGAAGAAAAAGCTGTGTTTGTTAAAAGTAAAGAAAATTAATGATTAAATTAAACTGTGCAGAGAAGGATAGGCCTCGAGTTCAAGAACGACGAAGTTGAACAATTTCAATTGGATTCTTACCGATGCAAAGTGATTCACATCACGGTGATGGGCTTCATCAGCTCTGACAACCTCAACAACATCGCGTAGGGTGGCGTCAGGATGCATGCGCCAGTAATCAATAGCAATGGCGGGAGCAGGAACATTCTTAATATTGCCTTTGTCCAACTCCTTCAGGAACTCTGTGTATGAATGAATGGCTTCTTCCTCGAGGTAACCCACCATGCGATGAGCAAATTTAGGGGAGATGAGGTAGCCAAGGAAGTAAGCATTGAAGAAAACACCTTGGACAACCATCACTAGAGCACGCTCGTACCACCTGGGCTTTGCCACCTCCATGAATGTCATGAGATGCATACGCTCGTTTTCAGCCTCTTCAAGCAATGCTTTGATCCATCCTCCGCTGTGCTCAAATCGCCTCAATGACTTGCAGTGCAGCAGCATGCCTCCTACCATTCCAGGCACCGCTGCCACCGTTTCCAACATCATTGCACGGCAGCCATACCTCCTCTGTCACAAACATAATAAAATCAGAGAAGTTTCTTACTTTTTTTCAAATTTTGCCTTGTAAACCTAATAATACATTGTAATTGTAGGCCGGCAATGTTCATAGATATATGATCGTCTTTTTTTATTACAAAAGAGAGGAGAATACAGAAATTTGGTTCTTGGTATTCAAGAACTAGTCATCAACTTTATGGCCTATGTATTGGCGATGTATTCCATGGATGATCATTCCATATCAGCTACAAACAGAATATCCTTCTTTTTCCCTTTCTAAAAGGCAAGAAATCATTAGAGCCATCTTTCCTGAGCTCCAATTTTGGTAATTATTCGAAAAAGAATATTGTCCATGATCGCTTTTTCCATAACAATTTTCATTTCAGAGATTATACCAATCAATTAATTGTCGTGATATTCCTGTATCAATTTGTAGTTGGCCACTGTTACTATAGTTTTCACAACAACAGAGGGATAATACTAGCATCCTGTGTTACTTCCGTCAAATTTATGGCCCAACAGCATTATTTTCATAGAGGATCATTCAATTTTGATAACAAAAAACAATCTTGGTAATTTGCTGTTGATCCAAAGATATGGGAGCAAACACAACTTTTGAAACCTAAAGAGTCAGAATTTGCAAAACCTCCGAATAATTTGAACAAAACAGCAAAAGAAAGGAGGGTAAAAGGAACTGATCATACCTGAAAGAACAAGTCAGTGGGCCATCTCAAAGACTTGACAGTCCAATAAGCCATTTTGTCCAAAAAGGTTGCTGGGGCATGATGCTTCTTCAGATCTATTGATAAATCAGCAGAATATGTCTCCCATGGCTTCAATATCATACAAAATACCAAAATACAAGATCAATCTTCAAACCCCGAAAAGAAAAGAAAACATATACTCTGAATTGCACAAGAATTTTTATGCATATTAGTCCAGTAATCCTCACCGCTCAAAACTTACAAAAGAGAGCAGATCTTCAACCTGCTCTCCTACACCACGTACACCTTAACAAGAACCAAAACATTTCCAATGAAAAAAAACATTTTTTTAATCAAGAATGTCATGAAACATTGATTCAAGAAACCAAAACCATGAACAAAACATAGAACCCACAAATCTTATCAACATAAATACCAAAAAGAAAAAGAGAAAAAAAAGTTGAAATTAACAATCTTACCCTAAAACAATTCCATTTCCACTCAGTCCCATCTTCTTTAGTAACCCTACTAGGAGGAACACCCCAATAACTCACAACCTCCTTCTTCTCCTCTTTATCACCACCTTCAGCAGCCGGTTGAGTTTCCTTCATATTCACCTGCTGTTGACCCTTCTCGCCAAGACTCACAGTACTTCGATGCCTCACACCAAAAACCGAACTCCGAATCCAAAATTCACTAATATCCTTACGCACAACATCCCCATGAAACCCCACCGCTTTAGCAGTTACTCCCTCTTTGCCTATTGTGCCACGAGCGATGGCTGTTGAGAAAGAACGTGAAACCAACATCATGGAACTCGCCAACTTGGCAGCTCCGCCGCGACTTGCCATCATCATCTGGACGACCAAGAACTGTCAGTAGATCGAAATCAAATAAGTTGTGAGTTTCTTCCTTTGTTTTTTTTCCGTAGGCTTCTTTTGTTAGAATGTTTGGAGATAAAGAAAAGGCTTTTTGGTCTTTTCGTTTTTGGGTTTCTTGTGGCGTTATTGTGTTTATATATATACAGCGTGTGGCGTTAATTTCCTATTTTTTAAAAATAATTAATTCTAGGGTTTTTAATGATTTTTTGAGGCTTCTAACTATTTGGCATTGGCGGTGGAGGTTGAAATGGTGGAGTATCGTCTAAGATTGGAAGAAGTGTTTGGCTTTTGTTTTATCCATTTTAATTGCTAGAAGATTCATATGAGATATGCGTGAGTAAACGAAATTCCATAATTGAAAAATTGTAAAATCATTTCACTCTCATTGTTGATGAATTTTAAAGGAATGATAAATTATTTTGTAATTTTAATAGTTAATGTATTTTGAAATTGGTTATTTACGTCATATTTATATATTTATGAGAATTTTTTTATTTTTTATTATAGAATTAGAATGAAGTATGATAGTATGAAATGAAATTTTATTCATCGAAAAATTAATAATTCAAATGTTTAGTTGTCGAAATTGAGTCAATCAAACTTATTGAATCTCAAGAGATTTTTTTATTAGTTATCAAGATTTAAATTATATTTTTTTTAGTGTTATATGGATTGTATTTTTTAACTAAATCAAATAGCTTAATTTGATGATAGAAAAAAATAAGATTGATAGTTTTGAAGAAATTATTTAATTTGGTAGTTAAATGATATTTTTAAATCAATTTATTTGTATCAAGAAAATTAACCTTAAAATTCCATTAAGAAAAGGAAAATTAACCAATTTATTGGAAATTAATCTTTCAACTCATTTTTTTTTTTTTTGGGAGAGAATTGGTAAACTTTTGAAATTCATAATAATTAAAAGTGCTAGGCAGTCAATTTAGCGTTGCCGTACCTTGTCGCGTGAGGACCACGGACCTTAACCAAACAGACCCTAGAGGATCGCCGCCTCCATAAATGTAGCAGAGGGGCATTACAGTAATCAGAATGACCCGAAGTGTCCAGATTTGTGGGATTTTTAATTAAAGTAACCGCCATTTATTACGGGCTGTATATATATATATGTTTTTTTTTTCTTGGAGAACAAGTTCGGTACATCTGTGGTTTGCGTCTGGCTCAAGGCAGGCTGACCTTGAATCTTTTCCCAAGCTGGAGTTTTCCTGTTTTTTAAGAGAACGTGTCCAAGTTTTTCTCCTAGTCAAAGATTTAGTTTTTGCCGATTCTGCCCTTGCCACTTGTTTCCAGGAACATGGGGACTCCATTCAATGACATGAGAAAGAAGGCAACTCTCAGCAACTTGCAAATTAGCATGACAACTTTGAAGCTTTCTTTTCTCTTCTTCTTCTTCTGTCCTATTCAAAATGTACTGTTTATTCTCTAGATGAACATAACATGGGTTAGATTTTTTTTTTTTTTTAGGTTTAATTTTAATTTTTTTTTATCAATTAAAGATGGTGTAATCAAGTGGATTTATGGTAGAGATTAATTTTTAGAGTGATAAGAGTTTTTGGAGTGGCAGAAAACATGTAAACATGCATGTTTAATTAACGTGCAGCTGAAAATACGTTAGCCACCACCATCATTGAGAATCTCCAAAATGGAGCTCTTCAGCTTTAACCAAAATAGGTGGTTGGCTTAGAATTCTGAAAAATTCTCAAAATCGCCGCCATTTTTTACCCTAAACAAGACCCGAATGATATTATGGATACATACAAGAAAATTAAGATTTATATCATTTAAAAATATTAGGATAAACATTTTTAATTCATTTATCTTTGTATAATACCTAATGTCTCTCATCTTTTTCTAAGTTTTTAATTGCTTCTTATTTGTTTATAAATATATTTGAAATGTTTAACACATCTTTCAGGCCTAATTTTCTAGTCAAATAGTGTTTTTTTTTTTATCAAAATACTCTTGATTGAAATGTAAAAATTAAAAAATAAAAAATAAAAAATAATTCTACAGGCTTCAAAAGTAAAGCACCTAGTTCATGCAACTTTAAGAGTTTTTGTTTTTTTTTCTTTAATAAAAAATATTTTGGTTACAAAAATTATCATCAGAAAATTTGATCGGAAAAACAAATTAAACATTTCAAAAAAATTTAAACACATATGAGATGTAATTAAAAATCTAATAACAAATAAAAATCAATAAATATTATATATGGACAAATAAATATGTTTGCTCACAATATTATATCACCAATCAAGTAAATTTCTAATACATGTCATCCACAACATTGACTATTTCTGTTCTATGATTTTGGTGTATATGTCATTATTTAGTGGGCTCGTTAGCAAATTTCTGATTGGGTGGCCACAAAACACACTCGATTGCTCCTTTATCAATAAATAGACAATTCAAGTGATAAAATATAAAATTGAGACATAAAATTCGAAAAATCAAATAAATTACGACACATAATATATATATATACTTATGTCTGTACACTTGATACGTGTCTAGAACCTAATCTAAAAGAAGTTTCGTCTTCGGTATAGAAAATCCAACTCGAAAAGTACTCTAACCTTAGAAAACACTACAAGTTAGTACGAGATTTTCAATTGCATACGTACGTTACATAGATGAAGAGAATGGAGCATAATATTTTTCGAATATTCTTCGTCGACAAGCACAATCAACCGATTAATTTATCGTAATAGAACTTTATTATTTATTTATTTATTTAATAGCCCAGGTGCCAGACATTCCAATCCAAACCCAACCCACTCCATTTGGGTTCAATTCCAGGACATGCCGAGGGCCAGGACTTGTGAAAGAATTCTTGTCTTTTTTTGTTGCCTTCAAATTTTCGCTATAAATCTACCATAACTTTAATCCACTCTATTCCAACTTGATTTTTTTCTCTGTTCACATTTATATATATATAATTGAAGAATAATACGGATTTAATTATTAATGCTCAAACTATTTCGTTCAAAAAATAATATTATTCTTCATTTACTACAAGAGATCACGTTAACAAAGATGTTTGATGGGATTTTCTCCTGTACCAGGATGTTAATGGCATAATATATTCTTCATTACAAGAAAATCCTATTTTAATTTAAAGTGATAAGCTGTTAGTTAGCAAGCATTAACTTATAGATTAAGTTTAGAATTCGATTCGTATGATCAGTGTTTTTAAAAGTTTATTTTCAGAATACTCGAAATTGTGCATTGAGAAATACTCTTTAATCATGTTAAGTGAAAAATTAGTTTTGAAATATGCGAAAGTTGACTCGAAGACACCTCGGTGCTAAGGGAAAAAAAAAAAAACAAAAGAAAGAAAGAAAATCCCATTTGGGTTACAACCTTGTTTAATTATTAAGACCCATAAATATTTTATCAATTCATACAGTGTTTGAAAATCAAATCCTTCCAACTAAACTTATATTAGTCTCTCTCTTTTGGGCCTACCAAGAGTAGTAATGTACTAATGTCATTGCAACAAAGGTGGCTATAGCCCGGATATGCATAAAAGCAAAACCCAACAACGAGACTACCAGTACGGCCATATGGGCTTTGGGCCCAACAAACCGAAAAGAAAACTAGAACAAACGAAATACAACATTGGGTTGAGGGAACATGGAAAAACCGTTCAATTTTGTCCTTGTTTTTGTTTCAATTTGGCAACCTTGCAATCTCCATCTACTTCTGATTGTTTATGCTTTTACCAAACTTCTTATTTAACCCGTAGCGATATTATCTGAGCTTGCCATGAAGGGGTTCGATAAATTGTCTCAAAGAAGGAATCTCGTCAGAAGTTAAACTCTCTCTTTTTTTGTGCTTAACCGTCACTGTATCTTCATGCCATCCACATCCAGACTAGTGCATTCTTGAGAAATGGAGAAGGAGAAGAAGAAAAGGTGCATTTCTGAAGAATTTTACGGGATTAGTAACTTACCAAACGAAATTATCCACCACATCCTCTTTTTCTTGATGCCAAGTTCGCAGTCCAAACTTCCGTGCTCTACAAGAAACGGAGAACCCTATGGATGGTTGTTCCTGTCCTCAACCTCAACACCAATTCCTTCAATGGACCACATTCTTTTATATATAAAAAAAAATCCCTGCAAAACGAAAACACAAACGCAGAAGCTTAATCAAATTGCCAATTCCTGCACAAGATAGCAAATTTGGAACTATGCAAAGCCTCATGAAGAATTCTAGATTTGTAGAATCTGCCTCTGACTGTATCAATCACCCATTTACAAATAACAGTATCAGAATTATGGATTCTGTTGTTCCTTTCTTTCCAAACACAACAGATAGTGGCAGACCAGGCAATTCGATCGGAGGATAATTGACAAGAAACTCTTCTTTTAAAGGTTAGCCTTTGTCCATTGAAATTCTGAATCCCAGCTAGCCACATTCTTGTTGATACCACAAAGCTGCAGAATATTTCTCCAAACCTTTTGCGAAAATACACAGCCAAAAAAAAAATGATTTCTACTCTCAATATTACTGCAGGAACACAATAAACAGTGTGCATTAATGCTCCTCCCCATTTTAGTTGCCTGTCTTTCGTAGAAAGTCTATCCAAGCAAGCCAAGCAATAAAGCTGTATCTGGGCAGGTGCCAAGAACCCCAAATAAGAATGTACCAGTTAACTCGAGGTTTCTTATTTCTGATATGTTTCCATGCACTCTTGGAAGAAACACATCAATTGTTAGTTTGCTTCCAGGTTACCTTATCATCAAAGAAAGAATTAGGAAATAGAATGCCACATAAAGAATTTTTAATATCAGCCATTGCTTCAGTTCTAGTAGCATGCCAACATCAATCATGATCCCGAATAACTTCTGAAACTTCTGTATCAATAGCATCATAAGTGATGATGTCGTGGTTAGGAGAATTTTTTTGAACGGTTCGATGTGTTTTTTCTCTGGCTGATCGTGGGATGGAGATTTGTTCTTATTTTCGAGTTCTACAATAAGTACTTGTAAAACGAAGTCATCTTCTTATGCTTTGAAGGGGTGTGTCTGCCTCAAACATTGCGTTTTTTGTGGAGTATGACGTATGTGATGAGGCAGAGCTACTCTAATCATGGTCGACCGGATATGAGGGGCTTTTTCTGTTAAAATCTTGTTGGGCCTGGTTTCCCAATATGGACTTGGCCTTTGTATTGGGCTAGTATTTGAGTGGTCCATTATTTTATGATATACCAATAAGCATCACCCATTTTTCCTTTCCGAAAAACGAATTACACTTCTTTTCTACAGTGGTCCATCCCATATTGCTATTCGAGCAATGATTTTCATCGTTCTTTACTAGATTATGGTGAATTTCTTGTTAGAATTGTTATATATGGAACGAATTTGGTGGATTTAGGTATCCCAGCAAATTAATTGTCCATACAAATTACAATCTGTCAATGATTTGAATTAGCATCTGCAATAATGGAAATGCTATAATAGCCACGCTAAGCAAAGGTTGGGGAATTCTTGGCTTTCCGATCGCTTTTTGGTCAATGATGACCTTTTCTTGACTGGAGCATCTGTGAAAGAGGTGGATGAGCTGAATCTCTGCTCCCCGTGTATGAACAATTCTAGATAAGGAATCTACCTTGCCAAGTCTATCTTCTTGAGCTGAAATGTGGCAAAAGAAATCGAGTCCAGGACAGCAGAAGAGTAAAGGCCGTAGAGAGACATGACAGATACCAATGTCTTCCTACAGTCCTTGGAAGATCAAAGAAGCAGGATTTGAGATGGTGAAGGATAGAGTTGAGGAGACACTTAAAGGGATGGATGGAAAGAGAAGACATTGTTTTGGCAGGGAAATAGTGGTCATCAAAGTGGTGGCCCAATCAATCCAACTTCATCATGAACTCCTTTAAGCTCCCAGTGAGCTTGTGCAGTGAAATTGAGCCCATCACCAGTAGATTCTGGTGAGGGAGTAAAAGCGTAGAATGGAAAATACACTAACATCATGGGGCAAGATCGATTTTTCTTTCTTAAATGCGAGGTGGACTGCGGGTTAGAGAGCTCTCCGGCTTCAATATAGTTGTGTTGGTTAAGCAGGGATGATGGTTAATCAAAGAGGAAAATTCACTGCTAGCTCATACTTTCAAGGCTCACTCCTACACCAAAACTTTCGTTGAAGCTGCGGATAAATGAGGGGTCATCCTTGAGTTGAAAGGGCAGTTGGTAACATCCCATGGGCTGAAACCTGGCACTCGAATGTTACTCCAAAGCAAGGGAATTTTATTTAGGGAGTCTCCTTTTAATAGGTAACTTCTCAAATTTTTTTTTGTTTATTTTTTTCTTTGGCTCTATAAAAAAGTTTTGACTTTTCGTCTTTTTTGTTTTTTTTCCTGCAAAAAGGCAACCTGCGTACTGTCTTTTATGAAACTAGAGTCTAGGGGTTGAGTATGAAGGTAATTTGCTTATAATTCGAATGTCGGAAATTTGACCATTACATGTTGCTTTAAAGACCCTCTGACTGTAGATCCATGAAGAACATGTTTTTTTTAATTTTATTCTAGTGTTTTTGGCTGATTGTTTTAATGTTACGAAATGGGGTTTTGTCATATGTTGTTATTTTCGATTTTTGAATGTGAGTCAGATGTGATTCATGAATTGTTGAGAACATGAAATGGTCAAGATAAGATGGGACCTTTTTGTTCTGCATCATGTGGGCATGCCCGGGCAGGCCCTGTTTTTTTTGTTTTTTCCCCTTAAATGAAGTTACAATTTGGGGATATTCATTTTGTTATGGTAAATCCTACTGCTGTTTGTTATCTTGGAGTTTGGGCTGTTGAAACGAGTTGATAAGGGATCTTAAGAACGAATAGATTTTGATTCTGATTGTATCTTGCTATTAATTTGATTCTGATATAGTGTTTAAGAGGTAACCAAGTGAATATTTTGGTTTAGCAGCAATCTGGATTATTAAAAGCTAAATCTATTGCAGAGATGGAATATTTGATTCTGACACTCATATGATGTTTGCAGAACCTTGACCTTATTGGTTGTATCTCTTCAAATGTTTGCAGAACCAAGTGATTCCAGAATTCAAGACATCACGCTCAAATATTAATCCATTTAATTCATGAAGAAATGGTGGAAACAGTTCTGGAGCTGACGAGCTTGAATTGCACAATCCAAAAAATGGCACAAACCTCCAGTGGAGATATTTCTATAGAATGGCTGGTGCTGGAGAGAGGGTTGGATCCCTGCTTGCTGCTGTTCATGTTGCGACAATGGTTCAGAAGCCACATAAGCATGGTCATCAACGATACACATTAACATCAGGGGAATGGTGATTCTGCTGGCATTTCATCCAATGAATCTAATGATATGGCACCAGCACCTATGTCAATCAATGTTCCAGATTACTTATTTTCAGAATTTTGAATTTGTAATGAACAATTGGAAACGACCAGGTTCTGGGTTGCCTCTGATGAAAAAATGATGACATGCTGCTGTATTATGCTCGAATTCACTCAGTGATCCCTTTGAAGCCATTTATGATGAAGATCAGTTGGCTTGGTTCGAGTCCGAGAAGCAACAGCGAATTCAATTGGCCCTCTAGACTGGTTGGGGTCTGGTTTCCTAAAAAATTACGGTGATTTCATGACTGGCGGCCATGAAATTAGCAAAACTTCAATTTCTCTCACACACAGTTATACGGACAAAAGGGTTGTCTGGAGTTAGGCCCACCAGCTATCCCTGAGGAACTTCTCCAAGAAATTACAGAGCCAGTGACACACAAATGGTGGAAACTGGTGCAAAAACTGAGGAAGAAACAGTGCACAATCTAGGTTAACATGATGCCTCAACAACTTAGGTTGAGATGATAGGAAGTGAAGAATAAGTCCGAGATGATCCAGTGGATATTTCTTCTGTATTTCCTCGGGTGATTATGGAAGCCGATAACGCACTAATGGAGGCGAGAAAGGCTAAGGAAGAAACGGCACAGAATTTTTCGAAAAAAATCAGGTAAACCTCATGGGAGAGAATGCCTTGAAAGCTAAGAAAAGTAGGAGGATAAAACTAAAGAACAAGGCTGAGACGATAATCCCATTCACATTTGGGTGGACAGATAAGTAGCCAAGTCAGCTAATACTGTAGTTGATCATTAAATTTCTAACACCCCATAGCTAAAAGAGAGAGAACCAAAACAACATACCAAAAAGTTGCTTTACATAGCACGTTTCTTGCTCACTAATAACACAAGTATTTAGGGGCTTCTGTCGTACATAGTGCCTTTTCTCTTAGGATCTCTCCATTTTTCAGGTTTATAACTTTTTAGTTCCATGGCTTCTCCCCTACCCTTTTGTCTCGTAATCTCTACCTTTCTTCCTAACTTCCCATAGCTTTATTAACCTTTTCTCTTTCTTTTAGCTGTTCACTTTCCATTGAATTCTCTCAGGACTTTGGTTTTGTTCACAAGGTTCCTTGAACCTAGAGAATTGGTCTTGTTTGGTCAGTGCCCATTTGATAAAGGAAGTTATATATAAGGGTTGGGGTTGAATTCTTGGAATTTATTAGCTTCTTTATCAGATAAAGGAAAACCCAGTTCCTGGAACAAAGGTCTTACCCTAGAAAACAAGACAAGAGGGTTTTAGCTTTTCAAGAAATGGAAAACATTTCTGGACTTGGTAAGGAAGATGAAGATCAGATGGATTTGCCTCCAGGATTTCGGTTCCATCCGACGGATGAAGAGCTTATTTCTCACTACTTGTATCAGAAGGTTCTTGACATCAACTTCTCTGCTAGAGCAATTGGAGATGTGGATTTGAACAAGTCTGAACCCTGGGAACTGCCATGTAAGTCCTCTAAGCAAACTGATCAATTTCTTTCAATCTTTCTTCATAGAGAATTATGGTAAGTTGGACTTTTTATCTTATGGTCATGGTTTTCTTTTGATGAAGGGAAAGCGAAGATGGGAGAGAAAGAGTGGTACTTCTTCTGTGTCAGGGACAGAAAGTACCCAACAGGTCTTAGGACAAATAGGGCAACTGAAGCTGGTTACTGGAAAGCCACCGGGAAAGATAAGGAGATCTATCGAGGAAAATCCCTAGTTGGAATGAAAAAGACCCTTGTTTTCTACAAGGGTAGAGCCCCTAGAGGAGAGAAAACCAACTGGGTTATGCATGAATACAGACTAGAGGGTAAATTTTCTGTCCACAATCTACCCAAAACTGCCAAGGTACACCTCCTCTGTTTCCTCTGTTTTTTCCAACACTGTTTGTCTTTCTTTCTTTTTATTGTTCAAGTTATGCTGATGGGTTTTTGCTCTTGTATTGTAGAATGAATGGGTGATTTGCAGGGTGTTTCAGAAGAGTTGTGCTGGAAAGAAAACCCATATTTCAGGTCTAGTGAGAGTAGGCTCATTTGGTAATGATATTAGCCCTTCATGTCTGCCACCATTGATGGATTCTTCGCCCTACAATGGCAAGATTAAGCCAGTGGCCGAGTCGGCCTACGTGCCCTGCTTCTCCAATCCCAGTAACGTTCAAAGAAACCAACAAGACACAATTGATAACTTCAACAATCATCTTTTAGCTGTTTCTTCAAACCCTTCAGAGGTTTTTCCACGAATCCCACTTTTAAATTCATTCTACTCTCCCCAGGCTGTCCCAGGATCAGGAAATTTGCAATATCCAAGTTCTGTTTTAATGCAAGACCACTCAATCTTAAGAGCCTTGCTTGAGAACCAAGGCTCAAACATGAAGCAGCAAAGTTTCAAGACTGAAAGGGATATGGTAAGTGTCTCTCAAGACAGTACTACAGACATGAACACTGAAATCTCTTCTGTCATATCCAATCTTGAAGTGGGAAAAAGTTCATTTGATGAACAAGAGGCACCACCTTCTACATTAGTTTCATCAATGGACCTTGATTGCTTTTGGAATTATTGAAAAACAGCTGTAGGAGATGAACCTAAGGTTGGAGAAGATCAAGAAAAGCAACTTCAGTTACTGTTATTGTTTATTTTGAAATTATAATGTGGGGTATGTGTATAGATTTCTTGAATCTGATTGATATGTTGCAAGACAGTGAAACATATTATTATGTATTGTAAGAAATTATTTTATAAATTGTTATGCTTTTGTTCTCTCTACATCTCTTTTGTTGGCTGTTATTGTTATTGTCAAAATTGCTTCCGGATGCAGAATCTGTCACATATCAGATTTAGTTGGTGACTAACAGATCATATTTTTATATTCTCTCTACAATATAAATAGATACTGCATAGCCCATTGGTGGATTAATTAGTGCTTAGTGCTTACATTATTGAAGATTATGCTTACCTCATTGGAGATTTTGAATTACATTCTCATAGTTTTATATTGTCTAATTGTGGGGACTCAGCTGAATCTGCTATTATTTCTTGTTGTGGGGGCTCAACTTTTTGTTTTTTTGAATCTTTCTTCGATTGGTTCAGACTCAAACCAGTCTTCTCTGGCCTTCTTCTGAATCGAAACCTAAGAAGAATAGCCATTTATCTTCGATCATTTGACGAAGTCTCCAAGGGTTAGTTGAGACTAGATTGAATGTCAAGAAGTTTGTCTTCATTCTTGAAGATAAAACAGATAGAAACGCAAAAGAATGCGAAGAATTTCAGTAATAATAATTAATAGTCCATGTATGAGGTCATGGAATGTTAGCTCTCTATTCTCTCTCTCTCTCTCTCATGATTTTCACAGTTCATGCATTTGATTCACTCACAAAATTGAGGGTGAGGACAAGACTTTTAGTTGTGGTTAGACGCAACTGAGCTAATAAAGAAATTATGTCTTTTATTCATTCGTTTCATGATGCATGCACACTGTTCTTCCAAGCTGTAACGCTCATGAAACATGATGTAAGAACGAATATTTCTTCTTTGTTATTAAACAGTAACGCATATATTATCGGATTAACTTTCGCATCAATTAATTTTACGTTGACGTAATATATTAGAATTATTTAATAAATATTTATAAATATTGATTTTAGTGTTCGAACGTAAAAAATCATGAAAAATATATATTTATGTACACCTTCTTGATTATAAGTGTAATTCCTTAAGATTAAGAATGAATATATCCTTAGATTCTTTTTATTTTCTTTCTTTTATCAAATGTTTTGTGCCATGTGGGGTTCTATTTGGCACATGAACATAAAAATCTGGCAACCCTTTTTAACTAGCTAGTTGAGTCCTACACGACATTATCCTTAACTACGCATGAAACTGAAGAGCTTTTGTCTTGCACAAGTTTTTGTTGTGTCAACAAAGTTATTGCTTTTTTTTTTTTTTTTTTTTTTGGGGGGGAGGGGGAATATGCCCTGGTGTATGTGTGTATATATTCGTCAATTTCGAAAGAGTCCATCCAGCTAATGAAATTACGAAAAGCATTAATTGCTATATTACGCATGTTTTTCCTACTTCTTCTTTAAATATTTCTTTAGAGGGGTAGACTCCCATGATGTTCATCGTGCATGTTTCTATTAAAGAACATATTGCTTTATTGAGTATGATTTTTCAAATGAAGATATTGTGCTTTGAAGCCGTCTAAAACACTTTCTGATCCTCTACTGTTTTAGGAATTATACTACACAATACACCATCTTGACATTATAACAAACTCTTAAAAAAATCTCTTTGAAAAAAAATAATAAAGAAATAGGTGGGATTTATTTGCAAGGAATAAACAGGTGTTTGCCGATATTTAAAGAGTGATGATGAGATACTAACAATTTTATTGACAATTTTACACAAGTTTTTTGTAAGTGGCATGCCACATTCATCAGTATGGATGGGAATCAATATTTATAAGCTAAGTTCATATTTTTATCGATCTTTCTATTGTTATTAATTTTTATTTAAAAATTTAGTAATCTTTGATATTTAGTACTTAAATTCAAATTTTGTTTATATATATATATATATATATATATATATATATATATATAAGGAAAAAATTGGACCATTTCTGAGATTTTTTTTTTTAATCAGATTTTAAGTATACCATACATCTATCTTGGATAATACCACGAGAAGCGCGTCAAATCTTAAAACTACAATTATTTGTCCAAATAGTTGTAATTATTGGCCTCAATTTCTCATTCCTTGTGAACAAATTTTTGGTGGTCAAATTTGATAATTCCTCTTTCTCTTTCATTAATATCTTCGTATTTTTCCTTATATATATATATATATATATATATATATATAAAAGTAACAACATCTTTTTACGCTAGCTTTTGCATTAATAGGTAATAAATTCATCATTTTTTTTTATTTAAATTAGAACTAGAATACGATTAGTTTTTTATCGAACATTGAATTATCTCTTAGCCCAAATCAATCTTGATATCATTATAGATAATTATAACTCGTTATCCATAAATAATAAAAATAAAAATTTACTTTTTGTTAAACTAATGCAATCTTTTTATCATTAGATTGCATCTATTAATGATTAAGTTACTCTACAAATAAACATCATGTTTTAAATCATTAGTCAGACACTTTATTTCGATAAAAAAAATTATAGATAAAAAAATATTACAGAAACGTACACAATATTTTATAAAAAAAAT